TGACTCACAGCTGGTAGTTAACCAAATCAATTCTATGTGCGAAGTCATTGATCCCATCCTGGCGAAATATGTGGTCGCAGTCTCCGAGCTGAAAAACCGTTTCGAGAAATTCCAGCTTACCAAAATTCCGAGAGCAGAAAATGAGCATGCAGATTCCTTGTCGAAATTGGCATCTGAGAACTTTGGGGAAGCAAAGTCTGTGTACATCGAGATACTGAATGAACCCAGCTTTCAGACGTCGGGGGTAATGGAGATTAGCACTGACCTAGATGCTCCGAGTTGGACAGACCCCATCCGGGAGTACCTCCTCAATGGCACCATCCCGGAGGACAAACAGGAAGAGATGAAGTTACGAAGAAAAGCCTCTCGGTACACCCTGGTTGGCGACATTCTGTACAAGAGGTCCTACTCGTTACCACTCCTCAGATGCCTGACACCATATGAAGCAGAGTATGCACTAAGAGAAGTACACGAGGGGGTATGCGGTAATCACGTGGGAGCCAGAACTCTGGCACATAAGGTACTCCGGCAAGGGTACTATTGGCCCAACATGCAAGAAGACGCAAAGAAGTTCGTGCAGAGGTGCCAGAAATGCCAGTTCTTCGCCCATCTCACCCATCAGCCAGCAGAAGAACTCACCAGCCTGACTGCACCATGGCCCTTTGCTCAATGGGGAATAGACCTTTTGGGCCCCTTCGTCAAAGCAGTAGGGGGAGCAACGCATTTAGTGGTCGCTATTGATTACTTCACCAAATGGGTAGAAGCCAAACCTCTCTCTTGTCTGACTTCGAGAAGAATTGAGGATTTCCTCTTCAGCTCGGTCATCTGCAGATATGGGATACCAAACCAGATCATCGTTGATAACGGCCCCCAGTTCAATTGTACCTCCTTCAAGGACTTCTGCTCCAGCTACGGGATTAAGTTGGTGTTCACCTCCGTCTATCATCCCGAGGCCAACGGAATGGTTGAATCAGTCAACAAAGCTATCTTGGAAGGAATCAAGCCGAGGTTAGATCAGTTGAAAACAAAGTGGGTAGATGAACTCAACAACGTCCTGTGGGCTTACCGGACAACAAGCCGAACTGCCACAGGTATGTCCCTCACTTTGATTCTCTTTTATATTACTTTATTTATAGTTACAGACTACCCTTTAAGTAAATCCTAAAGTTAATCCCCTACAAATAGGCGAAACGCCCTACCACTTAGCCTTCGGCACCGAGGCAGTCATTCCTGTCGAAATTGGTGTCCCAAGCCTAAGAATCAGCCACTTTGAACCAGCTCAAAACGAGCGCCTACTAAGGGAAAACCTTGATCTCCTAGACGAAGTTCGAGAGCAATCCCGACTTCGGACTCTCACATACAAACAAAGAATAGCCAACCTTTACAATAAGCGAGTTCGACCTCGAAACTTTAGAGTCGGTGACCTCGTCCTCAGAAAAGCTGGGCTCACAGGGTTCGAGACCCGATATGGCAAATTAGCACCAAACTGGGAAGGCCCTTACATTGTAACCGAGGTCCCGCACCCCAGGGCATACATTCTCCAGGATGTCGAGGGCAACAGGGTGCCTAGAGTTTAGAACGTCAACAACCTTAAAAAATTCCATCCTTGAAAGTCCCTTTCTTTATTCTAAGTTAGGAGTCTTTTTGTAAATAACATTCCAATACAATTGAAGACGACGTCAGTAAAGGACGAAGTCAATTTCGCTTCAAACTCAATTGTGTTAACAATGTTATTTTAACCTTTCCCATCCAAAAACAGTAAAAAAGAATCAAATTCATTCCATTAATTTCTAATCGTTTACAAAGG